CTTTCTTCGCTGTTATGAATGGAAATGCTTAATTTGTCATGGCCCACTGCTTGATTCTTATAGAATAATCGATGCACCGTCAACAGCTGAATTGTTGCCTCGCGGGGCAGGAAGTAAGCCACAGCTCGATGAGGTTCTAATTTTGTTATCATACGGTTACGTAAGTTTCGGTGAGTTGGCATTTTTTAGGAAAAATTAAAGACTGCTAAAATAACAACGAAACCTTACATTAGGTCCCTCGTTTTGGAGGTCATATTTTTAGGTTGAAATAGGATTGACATACGAAGAATTAGCCGAAATTGGGCTACTGCGTAAGCCAGGCTGTTTCGGACCGTACAGTACTTTTTTGGAATTGCGAACTCAATGGCGGCATAAGCCTGTGGAAGAGGTAGTTCATTATTCGATAAAAAAATCCAGTTTTCGAGCATCAGAATCGTAAAATATTGAATCATCGTCAAGGTGTTCAAAGAAAAATCTACAAGAATGGGGTTGTTTGAAGTCTTGAGACCAGAATATATCTCATTTTTAGGTGGCTGCTAAGGTTAAACGATTTTATGACAGATACGGCCGAAATCGTCATAAAGCAACTGTTCTTACTCCTGGTAAACTTAAATTCTTTCATTCAACGTCTCGTGATTGCTTTATGTGTAAAATCCCCAGAATCTTAGCCCGGGTGCTTCATCGTGGCATGGGAATGACTTTGGACTAGGCATCTTCGAGACACGCTGGGGATTAGGGAGCTCTAAGTATGTCGAAAGGATACATTTGTCCAGCTATGCTTAGGTATTGCAGATCAAAGCTAGTCTAAGCAGCGAATGGTAATGCGACAAGATTGAGCAACTGCGCTCGCAAAAACACAAACTTACGCACCAAGAACAGATAGTGGGTACGAACTGGAAAAATGCAACTCAAGGTCGAAGTGCTCAGCATAGCTGCGATCGACCTGTGGGGGCGTTCTAATAACATCACGAACAGCGGACACCCACATTAATAGCTCCAGCGAACTTGGTGTACTTGGAACTCATTAGAATTTACTTCTCATAGTTTAGTATAGTTTTTAGGCGTTTTGTGCTGTATAACAGCAGTACAAAATGCACATTGTCACGGGGTTGTCCGTGTTTGTGTGTGTGTCCGAGTGTATTTTGTCCCGCACTTTCAACTCGGGAACCACGAAAGTTGGGACGCTGAAATTTTGCAAGAATTTTCTCCGTCCACGTGTAACTCCGCACACTTAAATTCGGCCTTCAGTTACCCACGGGTTTCATGTATGATCCTGTCAAAGTGTTGGTGTGGGAAATAATTATCTTGGGAACCAGGAAAGCTGGAACACTGAAATTTTGCTAGAATATTCTCCGCCCAAATTTGACCCCGTGAACTTAAATTTGGCTTTCAGTTGCGAGTGCCACGTATGACCTTACGAAAGTTTTGGAGTGATAAATTATTATCTCGGGAGACACGAAAGCTGGAACGCTGAAATTTTGGTAGAATGTTTCCTGTCCACATGCAGCTCCACGAACTTGAATTCGGCTTTTACTTACCCGCGGGTACCATGTATGACCCCGCAAAAGCTTTGGCGGAAAAAATTATTATCCCGGGGACCACGAAAGCTAGGAAGCTGAAAATCCTCTAATAGAATTTCCCAGCTAGGTACGATCTCTCCAGTTTGAATTCAGCTTCCATTTACCCTGGGGTACCAAGTACGAGTACCACGTATGACTCCGTCAATGCTTTGGTGGGGGAAATTATTGCCCTGGGAACCGCGAAAGCTGCGAAGTTGAAATTTTAAGGTATTGTCCCCTACTCACTTTCAACCCAGGAAATTTTTATTCAACCCCCTTTCCTCCGTGTATTCAGATTCATGCATGGCCTCAGGAAAATTTTGGCGGATAAGCTGTTACCTCGGGAGCCACAAAATCTACGAGGCTCAAATTTCGGGGTAATGACCTCTTGTTCACGTACGACCTTAAAAATTCAAATTCAGTGCTCCCGCACTCTCGGGTGTCGCTTACGGCCTCATGAAAATTTTGGCGGGTACCTCGGGGACCACGGAATTATGGGGCTGAAGTTCTAAGGCAGTGACCGCCTGCCCACGCACGACCTTGCAGATTCAAATGCAGCGTTCTCGCGCTGTCAGGTATCAGCTACGCCCTGTGAAAATTTTGACGGGGAATTTATTGTCTCAGGTACCATAAAAGCCAAGAAGGTGCAATTTTGCGGTAGTGCCAGTGCGTGAGATTTCATGTGTCGGCGCGTGAAATTTTCAAATGTTTTTCAACGTTTCAACTATTTTTGCAC